TGCTTGCGCCTTTGCAGGAGAAACCGTTTTTTGATCCTACCTGCTTTGACCACTCAACCACGAAGACATTCATAATCAAGCAAGCTTCTATCTGTCTTTTAAGCACACTTGTTCATATTTCTTTGGAGAATATTTCCCTGCAAGGTTTAACTTGACCGTCGGACGAAAGACATAAAAATACTCCTACATCAAGAGGAGTATCAGGAGGAGCAGTAGCTTTTGCTGAAAACAGTCATTCAAAGTTAAACATTCTCCTCCCTAGTTTCTATTCTACATTATGTTTCCCACTACCAAAAGGGTAATAAACTTGTTAAACTAATTCCAATTTTCTACTGTTGTCTTTGATCACTCACTTACAACAAGAGGTTTATTCCTTGTTCTCGGTTTAAGATTGGTTTTCCGGTTCCTTCAAAAATTTTTTAATCTTCCTTAACGCCAGGTAGAGGTGTTGTGAAGGAGAATATTTCCCTACAAGTTTGGATGAAAGGCATAAAAATACGCCTACATCAAGAGGAGTAGCAGGAGTAGCCTTTGCTGAAAACAGTCATTCACAGCAATACATTCTCTTCCCTAGTTTCTATTCTACATTATGGTCCCCTGTATCAAAAGGTAATAAACTTGTTAAAACAATTACGGTTTTCTGCTGTTGCTATAAATCACTCAATTACAACACTTTGATAGTCATAATTATTCAGTTTATCTGAAACATAAACAAAGCAATTTCTATAGAACTAATGAATTTTATTTTATAATCCAACATATTTCATTATTTAAATATTTTTAGTGGATAATCATATTTGAGGCTCCATTTAAAGAGTACCTTTTTTTATTTCGTCTGTTGGCCTGAACACTTGAGAAATGTTATTAAAGAAGATGTTAAATGCATAATAATAAAATCTGTTAATTCTTTAAAAATGGGTCAAAATACATCGGGTCTAATGACGGTTTCTCCTGCCGAGGGGTGCATTTTATTTAATACAAGCAGGTGTTTGCCTGCTTGCTATCGCTTTACAAAGTAAGGTATATTCACTACTTGAAATCTTTGAAACAAAAATTTTAAATGAACATTTTATTCATAAATGCCAACTTGTTGAAGTCCGTGTGAAATGCAAATTTCAAACACTTTTCTGCACTATATAAGACAATATTCCTAAACTGAACTATTTTTGATATGAAAATCAAAATGATACTCAAATAAAAGAACAGTAATGAAGGACAGTTAATTAATGAAATAAACTTTTTTAAAATCAATATGCAAATTAGTTAAACCTGAAAAGTGATATTGCCAAGAAGTCAATAATATATAATACAGATATTTAGCTTTTAGTCTGTGAAGCCTTCCTTGGTTAAGTTAGACACTATTATTTTGTTTCCTAGTTAATGTGAATAAGTGTTGTTCCCAGCCTGTTCCTGGCATTCTCTTTCACTATGGCCCATATTGAGATTCCCAACCTCCCCAGTTTGTTTTTGTCCCCCATTTTTCATCTTGACAGGGTCAGCCTTTGATTTTCCCATTCCATCATTTATTTTTCCCCTTCGTGAGGAATACACTTCATTAGTGAGTGTGCTTCTTGATTCTTTTGGTAGAATACAGCGGCCACTCTTATTATTTTGAACGGTGTTTTGTTTTTGTTTTTTTTGTCTTGCATTTTTAGTTTATTTTCTGGGTTCATCTCCCCTCCCCCATCATTTTTGTTTTAGTTTTGTCTTGCATTTTTAGTTTATTTTCTGGGTTCACCTCACCTCCCCCATCATTTCATAAATCATGAAATTTTTATATATTTTTCTTAAAAAAAAAATGAACTTTATAGGCTTTCAAATTTTTGTCATGGGATGTTTTGTAGGTCCCCTATGAATATGCAGTATTGATGTGTTCTTGTGGTGCATGAGTAAATGGTATTGAATGAATGGGTCATGAGTTGGATTGACTAGAATAACTAATGAAGACCAGCCCCACCCTATTTCCCCCCCTCAGCCTTGTGCCATAATTCTGTATTGTTTAGAATAAATCTCAAATTAATATAGAGTTGGGGCCTTTTATCCCCAGAATTCTGTGCGAGAATTGAGCACCAATTTCGCATTTATTCAATTTTCATGTAGAAAATTTCTCAAATGTTCAGGCCAGGAAATGAAATAAAAAAATATTCTTTAAATAAACAGAGCCTCAAAGCAAACCTGCAACTTTTCAAAAAGTTTAAATGCAATCTTCAGACGTTTCAAAAGCACAGTGCAAAGATACAATAATGAAGTTTCTGGGCAAATGTTTTCTTTCATTTTTCTTTAGTTACTATTATTCAGTCAATTCAAAGCCAAAAAGCCACTCACTGAATGGAGGATGTAAGGGTTGTACAATGAGAGGGGGAAAGAAGTGGATATTATAAGGATTTGTAGGACAGAAAACAATTATGCCTCGACTTGAAGAGGTTAAGATTGTAGTGATTGAGAAAGCAACCCCATAGGAGTCTTGGAACTGTTACTTTGTTGAACAAAGTAATAGTTTCTGGAGAAGAAGCTGAGTAGAACTTCCTCCTTACTAATGGAAAACAAAGTGAATGAAGATGAGTTGAGCTTGTGCCTCCAGCATGGCAGGTCCTATCTGTGAAGTTCTGGTGAAACTAAGGGATATAGTTTGGATGGAAAATATTTAATCACCCACAAGGCTGTGGAAACACTTTTGAACCCCTTTCATGACTGGAAAGTGAGGATTGTGCAGCTCCAGGACAGATATGGCAGCAATATTCCATTTTTGGTCTAATCTGACCCTTGTAAAAATAAAGCATGGCAAGAGAAGTCAGATACTTTCTGTAACAGTAAAAGGAACCAATCATTTTCCAGACTCTTATGAATCCTATGTACAAGTTCCACTTGAGGTCTGGGACAAGCTTAAGTTCAAATAACCATTTAAGGCAAGGAGCCACATTCAGCACCCAGCCATTCATCACAACTGGAGAACAGTCAGGGTTTGATTTGATTGATCCTTGGCTTGAAGAGGCTAAGATTGTAGTGCTCAGGGAAGCATCCCTGCAGAAGTCTGTTTGACAAAGTAGCAGGTCTCTCATGTTGACAGCTATGATTGTATTATTCACTGCAAAAAATCTTGATCATAATCTGTTGCTAAAGGGTGAGGCATAAATACTGTTACAAAAATGAAAAAAGCTCATAGCTACTGAAAAATGTATTTTATCAGTATACGATTTTAACAAAAAATGTTAATCTACTAAATAAGACCAAAAATTCTGATTCAATATGGTTCTCTTTAGTCTTCACCACACGTTGAAGTCTTTCAGGAAAGTCATTGATAGCAGCAGGCACAGTTTCCATGGTTATTTTGTTCCAGACACTCTCCAATTTTGCTTTCAGAGCTTCAATATTGTGATTCAGAGTAGAACAGGCCTCCCTGTCAAGAACTGCCCACAAACAATAGTCAAGAGTGTTGATATCTGGTGATGAGGGAGGCCATTTGTCCTTGATGATAGAGCCAGGACAACTGTCTCTTCTCTACTGCTGTTACTCAAGCAGTATGGCTGGTCACTTGGTCTTGCTGAAGTGTCTAATGATGATGACCATAAGTTGCATTGCACCACAATTTGAGTGCAATTTCCAAGATGTCCCCAAAGTAACACTTCCTTGTCGGTATTTACCCCTTGAAGCACAAAAGTAAAAGGAGACTTCCCTCTTTCTGAAATAGCTGCTCAAAACCAGTTTCAGGTTTCTGAGGCATTTTTCTGAGGTGGCAGGAACTGATTGATGACTTATTGAAAGAACACGATCATTTTGATGATTAAAAGGCTCTTCACCAGTCAACAGTTTCTTATCAGTGAAGATGATATTTTGCAGCCTGCCATCACAAATCTGTTTCAGAAACTGCTTATGTCTTTGAAGCCTCTTTTTCATTGTGGCTGTTGAAAGAAGCTGTATTTTGGTTATCATGTAGGGGGACATCCCTAGATCATTTCGACATTTAACCTACACATGGTCCTCTCCAATGTTCCAGCCTCCTTAGCCAACTTTCTCATTGACCTTCTTGGATTACACCTGTTTTTTTCATGCATGGGTTTATTAAGTGTTGATGTTCTGGACATGCAAGGACATGCAAGGATGTCCTGGTCTGTCTTTGATGGAGGAAGTCTCATTGCATTGATTAATTGTCCTTTTGATGAACATTCTATTGATTCCAGGTTTTTTCCATCTTTAAAAATCTCAGGTGGAGTCAGTCTATTTTCATGTTGCTTAATTATATACTTTCTTTTAATTTCTATAGACATTGTTGGGCAAATATGTAACGATAAACAACAATGTAATGACCCAAAATTCATTTGAAATTTTGTAACAGCTTTTATGCCACAAACTGCACACTACCCAATACGAGGATTGAACTCATAACTTCCAGGAAAACACAGACATTTATCATCACTTTTATCAATATTTTTGTTCTCTGTATTTAATAGATGGTACTGAAATCCACACTTGGTTTATTGATTGATTTACTCAAGCACACAATAACATAACAAAGATTTTACAAGACCAAAGATATTTCCAGTCTTTTTTTAATCATTTCACCCTAAGCAAGGAAATAAAGCCACTAAGATGCAAGGGTTTACTGGGATATAGGCAAAAAAATTTTTTAAGGAGAGGAAACACTCAAAGAGCAGGAATTAAAAAGACAGACAAGTTAGTCTTAGTTAAAGGAATATCAAAACACAAATTGAGTTTCTGTTGTTGTCATTAAGTGTACTCACTTTATTTGTTCTATCAATTTAAATAAAAACTTTGTGATAAATCTCAAAAAATATAGTTTAATTAAACCAATTTTATTTATACTATTTACATTGTTGTCCTCATCTTCATTGTCAAATTCACAACGTTTCGGCCATTGTATACTCCAGCCTTCTTCAGGTGATATATGTTGGAATTTCAAACTTTTATTTAATTCACAGGAGTAGATTGTTCTCATAGGTTGCAATGCAAAATGTGGTTCTTGCTGTGAGTCGCAGAAAAAATTAGTCAGAAAAAATGCTGGTCTGGATAGACAGCAAAACCAAAACTTCTTTAGGAATGAATGGAAGCATCTAAAAAGATATTTAGTCAAGATGGCAAGAAAGTATCAGTAAAAACAAAAAGAAAAACCTGACTTCTCCAAATAAGCAATTTTTTTTAATGTTTAAGCATCTCCCCAGGCCATAAAAATATATTCCCCCCTACCCTATTCCCCCTCTGATCTTCACTGCAATTTGTTGAGAGAGAGAGAGAGAGAGAAATGGATAGGAAAAAAAGAAAGGTGGGAAATATCTATGTTAAATCCTTTTGTTTTACAGACATTAGAACAAACTGACTTTCTTTCATTACAAATAACACATTGAGCTGTTATGAAATTTCTAATAATTACCATGCTCATTTTATAATGCTTAGAACATACATCACACTTGAGACAAGATCCTGTTTTTTCCTACCTGAACAGTGAGAGGAAAAGTTATAAGAATGTCACTAAAGAAAAAGATAAAACCCATTGCTGGCAATTGTATTTTCTGCTATTCCTACATCTGACACCTATCTGGAGCCTGCTCAATCCTCAGAGAGTAACTTAACGCACACTATGTCAGTTTCCAATTTTACTGAACCTAATGAATCAAATGCAGAAAAGCGGGAATTTTGTTCATGTTCTTCCAAAGACAAAAAGCAAGATTTTCTTGAGCAGTGGCTCACAAGAATACAAATGGCATCGCTTATCAGTTGAAAACTGTATGTACTGCTTCAAAGGAGATTAAATGCTACATTGATATATGTTGTAGTTTTTTTTTTATAGCACTTTTGATCAAACCTTATATATATATATATATATATATATATATATATATATATAAACTGCTGGATAAACCTGCTCTGATTTATAAAGAGCTGCATTCCATCTAACAGCTATTGTACTGCAATGCTCTCCAGATTGTGTACAAGACAATTGATAGCCTGTTGACATTACAACACTAAAGTGTCCCAGGACCTCAACAAAGACCCAAAGATAAATGGCCTCAAAAAATATTGCAATTGCATACACGAATCCCAGTATAAAGTTATAAATAATTATTGACTAATTTTATCAGTGATATTTTTGCATATTAAGTATTAAGAATATAGCAACTAGGCTCTGCAAATTGGAGACAGGAGTTATCAATGATAATGTTCTGACTTCCAATCCGCGGTTATCTCCCTTTAAATTTTTTTTTTAATATCCTTTTTATTAAATAAAATTTGGTGAGCAAATTTTAATTCCAAAAATGCGGCCCTGAGAAAAATTAGGAGAACTAATCTCCAGCCTTCTTCAGGTGATATACATTGGAATTTCAAACTTATTTAATCCACAGGAGTAGATTGTTCTCGTTCCACATGCCATGCCTTTTCTGGATATCTCAGTTTCAGTTCTTTTCCTTTAGTAAGTCAACTCTTCATGTTTTTATTCACCTCTGCTGTGGTCAAGTACTGAACTCACAACTCTTTGGGTCAAGTCACTGGATTACTTCTTATGACAATCAAGATGAGGATAACAGTCCAAACAATGTAAATAGTTACAATGACTCATCTCAGAAATAGAGACGGATGATGGATGAACTGATTTTGTGTTGAATTTTTTTTTTTTATTTTAAAGGGCATAGACATTTATATACGTTTTTTTACAGAAAGCATCTTTTTTCAAACATGGACAAATGAGCACATCTGAAATACCATCTACAGACGTGTTTATACGTCAATCTTTATTCGTTTTATTCCCTTCTGAGCTTGAAACAAGTCCAATTGTTAACACGCCTGGTAGAGGTGTTAGCCATTGCTCGGGTACTTCAACGTGCCTCAGTTACTTAGTTACTATATTAAAAACAAATTAAAAAAATTTGGCTGAAAAATGGTTAAGCTTAAAAATAATTCTCAAAAACTAAAGTTTCATAATTGAACCTTGATTAAGTGTAAATACTGTTTTGCTTAGAATTTATAAATTAAAAAAAAAAAAAAATTAAAAATTGTTCTGAAAATTTAAGTGATTCAGTATTATTAAAATAGTTTTAAAATTTAAACTTAGTCTGTAGTCCTGCAGCATAATGCAACAATTTAAGATACTTAGGACCTATTGAATTTCTCAGGACAAACCCAAATCATCACCTGTGGGCCCCGAGGACCCACTACATTAAAAACCTATCAGCATTACTGATATGGTTTTCCATATATATATATATATATATATATATATATATATATATTTTATGATGCAAAGTTTTTAAAGTAGAGGCAAGGCTATCTATATAATACTAAAAGTCTGTGATTGCATGCATGCTTGTGTGGTGTGTGTGTCCAGCAGATAATGATTTAAGTTAATCTGATTTATAAAATATTTTAAGTGAATAAGATTTAAAAATACAGGTTGTTTATATGGTAGTATTTTAATCTTTCTTTTAACTTTCTTTAAACAAAAAATGTTGTAATTAAAATATTTTTAAGTTAAAGACAGCTACAAAGAGATTCCGCTTTGCTGTTTTGTCCAGTTTGTAGAATAATTATTTATATTTCAGCTTTCTTTAAACAAACAATATTTTAAATATTTAAAAAAATATCTTTTGGTATATTAAAAAAAATAATTTCAATTGAATATGATTTAAAAATAATTTTTTGCATATTAAAAATATTTTTAAGTTAATCTGATTTAAAAACTATTTTAAGTGAATAAGATTAAAAAATAAAAGTTGTTTATACAAAAATATAACAATTCCTTTTTTGCATTTTGTACAAGTGTTCACAGAAATGCTGTTACTGGAGTTCAAGTTTATTCAGGAAGTTCTATTTGTTAAATGCTGTAAATAATCTGTAAAAATTTAAACATCAACTTGTACACCGGATTAATGATAATACAAACGAATTGAAATATTTAACTGAATCATAATAAAATTAACTTTCATTTCAATGAAATATCAAAATCAATTTCAATGTTTTATAACTTGGACCATCAGCGACCCAACACGTCATGGATAGTCTAGTAAGCAAATAAATATTTGACCTTTGAACATGTTGACAAGCGAAGACATGCCTATGCTGCAGAAATATGTATTTTCATTATTTTTAAAAGCAAAAATAAGTAATATTTTTAGAATATCTAATTAATTAATCCATAAATTTACTATTTTTTATTGGAAAATGTCTGGGATAGATACTGGATTTTTAATTTCTTTATTATTGCTATCCATCAAATTAGCTAATTAAATAGGGGGAGAGGCAGTTTTTTAATTTGTGTTTTTGAAATATTTGAAGATATGAACTTTTCTTTTTGCATCTTTAATTTATTATTATCTCTCAAATAAAATTGAACTTAAAAGAAGATATATAAATTATTTAAAATGTTTTTTATGGCTTATTTTTAAGAATTTTTAAACGAAGTCCGTAGAGGTACATAAAAAAAAAGCATAATTCTTTCTCATATATGGTAACGGAGTTAATTATATACAGACTAACCTCTCATCTACTATTTCATTTTTGTTAGAATTTCCAAATCAATGGGTTTTTTACCTTGGGAAAAAAAAAAAAAAAAAAATTCATTGTAAAAAATTACTTACATCGCTGACATAAAAACAGGATTTTTAACCAAAATTTCGAATGTGTTAGAAAGGTTTAAATAACTAAAAAAAAAAAAAAAAAAAAAAATACTTTGGTCTTTTCTCTTAATAATAACAAACATTTTGACGATAAAACTGTTTTTATTAAGTTTTGTTGGGCCTTATGCTGTTTTTTTAGCGAAAAGTGAACATCCCTATTTTCAAGTAACATTTGTTTTAATTCACATGTAATTAAACTAAATCAATTAATCTTCCTCAAATAATGTTTCAGAAAATTTTTATTTTTGAAAGATTTTTTTTTAACGAAGAGAATTATACTGTGTTGACAGATTTGTCAGTATGGCCGATTTTTGTATCTAAAAGATATAATTCCAATAAATTTAAATTCGGTTTGAAATACAGTCAAGTGTTTTACTTATTGGACATGTTCTTTGAATTAATTAAAATTAAAAACTTAAGGTAAGGATTTTTCATTTTTAAAATGCATTTTATTATTTTTAAATCTTAGGTATCGCTTTGGGGAGGGGTACCTACAAAAATCTGCAATCAAGATAAAGACTTTTGAATAGAGAAAAGATACATTGAGGCATTTCTTGTTCATAAAACAGAAAATCAAAAACGTATACAAAACAAACAAAAATTCCATATTTAAATTCTTAATCAGCAGTGGCGTAGAAACATCAATTTATTTTTGTAATGTAAAAAAAAATAATTAGCAATAAATGTTGGCAAAGTGTATTGTAAATAAAAAAAAATAAAAATATATTTCATTTCATAGTTGTGAAAACTTTTGTCTGTGCAAAATGATGAAGTAATCGAAGTATAAATGTTGTTTTGCAAGCGCAGCAAATTTCATTAAAAAATGTCACACAGTAACAACCTCAAAAGAAGCACGTTGTTAATACAACTGACATTTTCATAGCCATAAAGCAATAATAAACATAGTTTTTTTTGTTTTTTTTAAATATATATCTGAAGGATTTGATTTCTCTGAAATCGTATCATGAGGCAAGTATAAGATTTATAAAATTCGTTAAATAAAATAAAAATTACGAATACATATTTTCAAGTTCATGGGCGCGTCATCGTGGCGGCCGCACCCTGAAGACAAAAAAAATGTGTAGTAAAAATAAGATTAAAAAAAAAAAAGAAAAAAAGTCCTATGTTTCTGATGTGTTGAAAACTTGATTTTTCACATTTGAGCAATCATCTCTTTAGAAAATGGTTTTGTTTTTTAAAGTTTTAGTTAAATTTCGTCTGATTTTTCCCCGTTAGTGTTTTAAAACCATGCACAGGTAATAAATGAAACGGGCCATTTTTACAAGTAGAAACTCGAAATAAAGTTAATTCTATAACCAAGAGGGAAAAAACAAAACGAAAATAAAATAAAATTGGTGAGTAAAATAAATCAAATATTTTTTTTTTACTTGTTTTTATTTTCTTTCAGGTAAACGCAAATTCGTGGCCAGTCGACAGTACAGGAATCATCTTTTAACTGTGCATCTATAAAGGCTTTTAGTAAAATAACCAAGCCACCGGGACGAAATCCAGATTTCTGTTGCCAGGCATTGAAAACCTTGAATTTTTGTTCGTAACTGTTTCTTGTAACACTGACAATGTTTTCAATTTTAACATTACTTACATCCAACTGATGAGCGACAGCTTTCCAATTCCCGGAAATATGTCTGATGACACCGCCTAAAATTTTATCAGACATGTTCATCCCTTCAGCAACCTCTATGGCTTCTAAGGCTTCTTTATAGCATTCAGGGTAACCATCGGCTTCAATTAATGCTTGAGCGATTTCCTCATTGCCGCAGTCGTCCTTCAGGAAATTAACAAAAACATCAAAGGCAAGTGAGCCATCAATATTGTCGACTTTATCTTTCAAGATATCCAAAAGTTTGCGTATAGCGTTCTCGGTGATCTGTTCGTAAAAAACTGTCTCGTATTCAAAGGAGTTAAAGATACCTTTAGCCCGTAACAAGTCAATCAATTTACGGACTTCGACAGTGTCCATGCTTTCGACCAAACAAGCCTGAATACGTTTTAACCGAAATTTATCATAGCCCGTCCTTTGGCCGCTTTCGTTAACAAGACAGGCATCAGTTTCCATTTCGTCCGCCATGTTTATTTTGTTTACCGAGTTATCTCCCCTTGTCATCAGCAAGTGCTTCCGCTTGACATTTTGAGGGATCAGTGTTCAAACTAAGCTTAAGTTAGTGTTTCGAAATCCGATTTTTTTTTTTTTTACTACTGGGAATACGTGCATAAAATAATTTTCTCTAGTTACCCCCGGTCAGAACAGATAAAAGTCTAGAATCGGTGCCATAATTCGTGAGTTCAAATTTATATCGTTTATTCAGTTTAATTGTTTTTAGTTTTCAAATAGATTTTTTCGAAATCGCAGACATATATTCCCATTCGTGCGGATGTTTGTTGGTTCCTTTTTTCCTCTGAGAAAACGCTTTTTAATCAGATAAAGCCAACTGCTATCTATTCAATTGTTTTTGTTGAGTATGCACTAAAAATGAAACCAACAAACAAAACAAAATTATTTTCATGAATTATAAAACTTTGTGATTGTACCCCAAATCATTTTTTTTAAATTTTAGTCCATTATAAGTGGGTCAACCATTTCAAATGATCGTAGAACAATCGTTCAATACGTCTTTGGATAACTGCTTCTTGATCTATCAGGAACAAATTCTACAAAGCTATTTCTTCAAAATTTCTGTCAATTCCTCCAAAGAGCCGCTGTTGATGAAGCACTCTGTCAGTGTCTTTTTACAAACAAAAATGATTCATCACTCTCTTCCACTATTTTGTCTAGACCTCCAACTTTATCATCACTGTATTTTTTTCTCTCGGTGAAATAGCAGCCTAACATCCATACAAAATCTGAACTGGTCAACTACTGTTTGAGTTTGCTTCAAGTGTAGTCACTTTATTTTAAAATCAACCGCTCAGATTACTTTTTTAAGCACGTAATTGTATTATCAAAATGGCATTCTTTTTCGCGTGTGCAAATAATGATCCCAATTCTAGACTTTTTTTACCCAGTTTCAAGACTAAGGAAAATAATTCTGCTGACCCGTTAAGTACAACCTTGGCTTCAATATTCTGTGGTAGTTAAATAACGCACACGGAAACGATTTGTAGTTAAAATAAAAGATAAAATAGAATACATAACAACAAAGATTATAAAACTAGCTAAATACCTATCTACGCCGGGTAAGTGGTTAAGACTTTGATCAAGTCAAGTCTGTGTTTTTTCTTTTTTATCAATTCCCTTCCCACACAAAGCAAGGCAATAATGCCATTAAGACCAAAGGAAGCATTGGAAGTGAAAGGGAATGAAAAGACTTTTGAAGGAACTGGAAATCTAATTCTGAACAGGGAACAAGAGATGAGTCTCTACTCCTGTTCAAAAGACTAAGGAGGTGTGTGAACCAAAATGGCTAGTAAAAGTTAAATAATTCTTTAAACTAGTAATGTAGTATTTTTATTTTCTCTGACTTTAGTCAAGTTAAGCAAAACTTGTACATAGTACAGAAAAGTATTCCAACGTTTTATACCCCAAATAATGGGAACAGTATAACTAGGGTTGCCAGACATCCTTTATATACTTAACATATCCTGTATGCATTAATTTTTGTCCTCTGTCTCATACTGACCTTTCAGGGACACCCCCATATGTGCTGTATTTAATTCATTTTCAAATTTCATAATAAAAATATTTTTGCTATCTTCTTATGGTTCTTGCTTGTAACTTAATAAGGAATTTGGTAAGTGAATGGGAATAAAGTTCACTGGAGAGTTTTGGTGAGTGAGTGTGAATATCGTTAAGGTTGTATAGTGTTTGTATGAAAGAAAAAATTAAGATTGTGTGACATGAAGTTTAGTTGCTATTCGTCTGATGTCACAATGCAATATTTATTACTGAAACAATACAGTAAATGTGGCACAAGGCCGAAAAAGGAGGATGGGGAAAAAGGACGGTCATCATTTGTCTTAATTTATAATTTAGTCACAACCACTGACCCAATCATACACAACAATAATCCTAGCACCAAAACAGCACATTCATACTTACCTTCCTTACTACATTCACCAAAATACCACATTGTCTCAACGAAAATCCTAAATAGTCCCCATATGTACAAATCGTTGTTTGTGAGGGGAGGGCAATAAAACCAACAAGCTAAAAACAAGGAAAAAAGGGACAGAAATAAAATCGGCCAATGAGCAAATGCACCCTAGCTAAGTTTACTGGAAAAGAAAAGAAAAACTAAATCAAAAACCTACTTCTAGCCTAAATCCAGGGATGGGTTGCCCAAGTTCGAACCAGGAAACAATATTCTGATGCCTAACTGGCATCAAAATGCCACTTCAGGTCAACCCCTTTTACTCGGCACATACGCGCAAGATTCACCCACCTTTCGCCAAATTCTGATGAGTTGAGCCGCCGACTTTCCGTCCTAATCTTGACTTTAAGCTGATGCTTAAAGAACAAGATCAGTTGGGAAGAAGTGAACTTCTCGCCCTCATAGAATTCCTTCTGACGCGTCGTCCAAATCACGACTCTCATAACACCTAGTAAGCAACAGAACACAATGTTCAGCCTTCGTCATCTGCGGCACTACATTGCTACAAACAGAACTGGCCTCAAGGACAAAGAACTTTCCCTGCAGCATGCGAACCATGAGGCCTTCAATAAACTTGCACAACGGCACTACCACCCTGCAATGAAAGAAGGCGTGACCAATGGTCTCGACTTCCCCAATACAGCGACGACAGTTTGGCGACCCACAGGGCCCCACGAATCACCAGCCAGGTGAGTGATGCCTCATCGTTATTGAGGCATTTCAACCCAGGCGCCCAAGGCCATATCGAACGAGCCTCCTGCTTCGTAAGATCGAGCTCGTCAATCAGTCCATCACGAACGGACCCCCCTCCCGACTAACACTTGATACAATGCCCTACGAGACAATGCCTGACGCCCGTAAGAGGAGTTTCACAGCACGACGACATTCGCAGTAGAAGGAGCATTCGGCTTGGGGTGTACGACCGGCCTCCTCCTCGCACGAGTGCACACTTCTCAGGGATGGGAAATGTCTACGGACGTCTTCCTTCCAGAAGGTGCCCTCCTCATCCGATCCGCGACACATTCGGTCTAGAAAGTTGATGCGAAGCATATATTGACGAATCTCAATGCTATGCATACCTAGACCGTCCTCAGAGAAATGAAGGCAACAGATCTCCCGAGAGAGCGGCCTTGTCTCTCCACAAGAAAGAGAACAAGAGCCTTACTAATAATATTAGTCTGGCAGGCGGAAGTGGAAGTACAGAGAGTCGGTAAAGGAGAATTGGGTAGATGTGTGAAACACATACTTCCGCCCTCCCCTTCAAGGAAAGCCTCCTCCGTGACCACAGATTAACCGCGATCTCGGACTTCCCTTGTACCTCCGACCAATTCATTTCTAACAGGAGATCAGGACCAAACCAGACGCCGAGTATCTTGATCGGCCCATCCATCCAGAGGAAAGGTCCGGGAAGAGAAACTCCCTTCCACGTACCCAACCGCAAGCCAACAGACTTATCGCGGTTGATCTTGGCCCCTGTCACCATCTTATACCCACTGATCTCTTTGCTGACTTCGTCAATCTCGGCTCTGCTCGACACAAGAACCGAAACGTCGTCAGCATAGGCAGAATACCTGGCTGAGGTGGTAGCCACAGGCAGGGAAATTCCGCGAAGGACCGGATTCGCCTTTAACTTGCGAAGGAATGGTTCCAACGCAAGAACGTAAAGCAAAGGCGAAAGCGGACAACCTTGACGAATGGAGCGAGAAAATACGAAAGGCTGATGCCACAATGCTGGCGAGTGTGAACAAGTTTCTGTTTTTATTTACTTCGGGTGGCTCACAGAGACTTGGTGCAAACTTGGATTTCAGTCACGAGCTGTAAAAATTAGTTAAGCGTGGGTGGATAGTCACACCTATTTGTATATTTATTAACCAATGAGGGCTCGAGATTTTTTTTTTTTTTTTGAAAGTGTATGAAGTTGAAAGTGTTCTGTGATCCACTTTTTGCACAGATTTGACCAAACTATTTTTGGGTATTGGAATAATGTAGAATTTGGATTCTACAGCATGAATGAACCAAGAAAAAGATTTCAGTTTCATTTGGTATTCTACGATGACACAAAAGCATTAATAATGGCTTTCATCCAGGAAGAAATCTCAGTGGTACAATGAGACGATTAAAAATTTTATTGGTTATGGTTATTGTCATTAAGATATTATATTTTAAAATATAGCGTTCATCAGGAGTGTTCAGTATTAATATCAATAATAGATACTAATTATGGTCTACCATGACATTTACATTTAAATATGCAGTCTACATGCACTTTTTTACACTTTAATGTGGATCAAGAACACTTTTAAACGTCACTGTGCACTACAAGAACCTTTTAATGCAAGATGTTAAGAACAAATTTTTAACATCCCGCTACCACCTGTTTTATCAATATCAATTTTCGTACAAAAAGTGGATCAGAGAGCTTATTCAGCTTAGTAAATATTTTCAGAAAACCTCAACTTTTAATTGGTCACTTAATATTTAATAACATCGACCTAGTTCTTGGCCTGACCAAAAAGATAATTCCGCCAAAATCTATCAAGCTTCTGTGAGCCTATCACGTGACCAAAGTTAGCAATAAAATATAAAACGTCTTTCATCTTCGACAGTGCACTGATCGGAATCCTTTGAACTCGTCACACAGTTTCAGGCTTTATGTTAAAGTTCCTTAACATGATTCCAGCCTGAGAGAACACTCATTCACACAGCAATATTTTATGACGAACAATCAACTCAAGTTTTTCAACATTCAACTTAATACACGAATCTTTTTATACGCTTTCAAGCTCAACGTTAATTATTGCAATTAACATAAACACAGCTTGTTAAGAACCACTTATTTCAACTAGAGAATATTTTCTTCGAACCAGTGAAAGCAAATCAAAGAGCAACAATTCCGTAAACCTTAAAGTCGTAAACAATATTTCTCTATTTCAAATACAAACTTGAACTGTTTATATTTTCTTAAATTACCAAAACACAC